TCTGGGTCTCTGGGTAGAATATCCTTCAACCAAGATATTCTACATCCTTGATCGAATGCCCTGGCCGTTGCACTGAATGAGAGCGTACATTTGGACTGACAGTTTGATCAACCAATCATATATTGGACTGGAAGTACCGGAGACCATAAACGGTTTTGAAAACTTCTGTCACGTAGTGATCATCTTCTTAATCAAATATCTTTGCTGATGTTTTTTCGAGTCTTCTGGCTAATCAGAATCAAGATTGTTGCCGGAAGTCCCCACAGAAAATAACTTTGCGGTAGAACTCTTCTTTATACATCCATGGGTACAACTTCAGATACAAATGAACACATAATGAAATATGACCCCCGGTTTGATGATTGACAGGTCACGGAACAATGGGAGCTATCTACCCTTACCCACAATTTAAAGTAAGTCACACAGACTATCTCCTCTTTACTCTTCTCGCAGCAAGAAGTCAGAACAAAGTGAAAAACAAACAATGGCATAAAATATTATTAATATGTCGGGTAGTAATAGATTTATTTATTTTCTTCTCAGAGTGTATCAGAATGCATAGTTTATGTTAGTATTTCTAAAAATCTCCTTGGGGAGAATCCCCCCAGACCCCCCTGCTGCGGGGTTGGGTTTTCAGCATGTGTGCCTTTTTATATAGGGTGAATTGCCCTAATGTGGGACATTTTTTGCATTTCAGACTTCCGGAATATATTGCGATATGAAGCCGATACAATAAATCAAAATCCAGTACCATTCTGAAATCCCCAGGATGTGTCCTAATCAAACCAAAAGAGAAAATGCAGATATTACACTCATAAAAGAAATGGTAGATATATCAGTACTCTTAGTGCCAAGTTGTCTCAGACAATCTGCATTTCCTAATGTGGGACAGTTCTGTGCAAAATCTGGGACACTGAAAAGTCTATGTTAAAAAGCCTCAGTCACCTTAATTCATGTAATAAAAACATCTCAGGTCAGTAACACTCAAAGCTAAATGTGCAATACCATGTTCAGCTATGTTACTATTTATAATGTTATTGTTGTTACAACAGAAGATGTTTTTCTTTAAATTGAAGTTAAATGCATCAATCTGGTGCACTTTGAGGGCAGAATTAAGAGATTTATGGATACAGCTCTCAACACTCAAATGAAACAGAACTGTATATATTACAATAATCCAAAAACCATTAGAATATGCTCACAACCAATACAAAATATTTGATAAACTCCTCTCTCCTATCTTTATCTTACCTATAGTCTGCATTCTTTCTTTTTTATTTATGCATATTCGACTAATCACTCCCCTTTTAAACTGTGTTTTTTAATTTTTTTACTGACCTATTGGAATGATTTCTTAACTTAGGCTATTTTTTACAACGTGTGTTGGAAGGATTTATTAAATTACTATGAATATTTGGGCTTAAATTAATTGCCATCTTTTAAACTCAGACATTTATCCCTAACATTATCCCTGACTTTGTCATACCATTTTAACAGAGCCCCCCAATTAAGCCCCAGATACCCCCAACTATTTAATATAATTTGCCCTTCACCTTAAATATCTAAAATAATGCATTAGAAGACTAACGCCCTGTAAATAACCATTGCTCTTGCACAATCCATGCCCCTTTTAGAACTGTCCCACATTAGGCAAATCATACTGTCCCACTTTGCGAAACATGTTTCCTAAAGTGGGACGATTGAACATTTGATTGAAATAAAAATAGAGTATATTTACACCATATTATAAAAAAACTTGCAAGATTGTTTTATTTATACGAAATTTAAAACCTTAACATTACATTTGTCAAAACAATCTTGCAAGTTTTTTTATAATATGGTGTAAATATACTCTATTTTTATTTNAACCTCAACCTATACAAGTCACAACGTAAGCCATGCTACTGTACTATGCTGGACAGTTTTTCAGTGGGTGCACAATAAACGGCAACACACATGAATGTAATTAAACAGCCAAATAATGGATCAACGCTCTCTGTCTAATATGTTCGCCAGCTGTTAGTGTTGTTGCATAGCAACCATGTCGCACTATGTTTTGTGCAGAAGGCAACGGAGGGACTATTTTATTTTGAACATCATTATTTACTAATAAAAACTATTTAAATTAGAGTGTGTATTTTTCTTTCATATTGCCACACTTGGTAACCGTTTTATAAAAGCAATAGCTCACTTCAGGCCGTGACTCATTATATCACAGCTAAGGGGGTTGTCGACCCTCCGCTTTGCGTCGGGCCGAACCACGCCCCTTAGCTGTGATATAATGAGCATATACCACAGCCTGTCGTGAGCTATTGCTTAAATATACGTCCCTCCAGAGTGTTTGTAATTGCCACAAATTGTTATTTCTTACACGACCTAAACTTTAAAACGTGACTATAGGTCCAAATAAGCTGCTGAACAATCGACCTATTTGGTCGTATGAGTTGGAGGACTTGTTGGATAATTCTTATGTACGCTTACTGGATGACATTTTGGATAAAGGCTTTTGCTTGGAAAATGTATATTACTGATTTTACTTAAATAAATACTTCTACAGCCACTGACTCAGATACAGCACAAAAGACTACCAGAAAGAAAGCAACACAAACACAAGAAGTGATCACGTTAACCTGGACAGAAGTTAAGTTAATATTAGGCCTCAGGTGTGTCTTTAAAACGAAAAGAGAGAGCAGTAAAGTAAACCTTTTTCACTCTAACGTACTTCAGCTGCATCCTGCCTGTGAATTGGTAAATATGTTGGTGTTTTGCTCAAGGTCACTTGTGACATTTCATCTTATAAGAACCATTGAATACAACATCCAAATACATGCCCATACAAGGACTGTTGTGTAATATTTAATATATAAATGATGACCCATACTGATGTATCCGTGGTCAGGTCCTTAGTTTGATCATTCTTCATCACAGATACAGTCTGAGGATTATGAGTGGTCATACAGAGGCTGAGCTCAGTGCTTTCATTGTTGTGACTTCCTTCTTACTCATTTTGAAAACAAACAGCAGCTCATACGATTTCCATGATTCAACTTCTCTCCTTATCACTCTGTCAACAACACGGGCTGGAGAGAAGTTTCTATTCTTCTCTTATCAAGAGCTCGCTCTCACAAACTCACAACGAAACTCATACAGCATGATGGGACTAAATGTACCTTGTTATGTTTGTCGACTCCATGGACTTCTGTTTTTTGCATTATATTTAAATAATTTTGACTTTCGTGTTGTTACCAATCAGCTTGTTTAAGTAAGAGCTGCATGGTCAGAACATGAGAACAAATCTATTATCACAACTGATGTCTGACAAAACATGACATATTATCTTAAGAAATAACACATTGATAATCAGTAGAGCAATGTGAATCCTCCAAAATACACATTGAAATGTCAATGAAAGTATTTAACTTCCCTACATTTGGTTCATTGAACAGCATCTGATGCATCTGTTAATATAAAATGCCAAGACATTCTTTACACTTCTGAAAAAGCTCCAAAGTAAAAACCAAATCCATTTATGTTTTTTGTTACCATTTATTATTTTCAAAAGAAAAACTAAATACAGACGAAGTACAAACAGGTGTTACTGTCCAAATGAATTAATGTAGCCTATGAATAATAATATGTTGCTGTTTTCACAGATGCCTCCAAGTTAAATGTCTCATTATTATTATTATTATTATTATTATTATTATTTAGAAGTGAAGTGTTTTTTATGCCACGGTAAAAAGAACAATTCATTCTCATCAGCTTTTAATTTAAGTGACTGCAGTGTGGATTTGTTATCAGTTTTATAGAAAGTGTGGCTGGGAATTTTATTTTGAAGTTGCATTTCTCAAAAGAGTAACAAAATAACATATTTAACAAAAATGTTTACTGTGCATTAACCTTGTAACGCGTATGGAGACTGTAAGTGTTTTTGGTTCTCAGTATGCAGCATTTCTGACATTTTGAAATAACATCTATGAAACAATAGGCTACTATATCCATATCTTATTTGGCTGTGATATGTTCAGGATAGAAACATGTTTGTTCTGGTTATTTTCTCATATTTAATGGAGAGTTCCTGTATGTGCAAACTTTCCCCCATGTTGTGCCCGCGCGTCACACACTGGAGCTGGGGGAAGTGTACGAGTCCATGCCGCCCTTGGGCACCCCTCCAGGGAAGAGGATGTAGGCGACCTGCGGCTGTAACCCGGCTGCGGACCAGGCGCTACAGTTACACGGCACCACGTACCCGGGGCCGGAGGGGGACGGGTGGCTGTGGGAGTGCTGTCCGTGGCAGCACAGAGCCCCGAGCCCTCCGGCAGTCTGGTATCCGAAGCTCTGCGCGCTGTAGGGCAGAGCGCCGGCCGCCAGAGCGTGCGGGATCTCATGCACCATGCGCTGGACAGCTCCGGTGCTGAACTGCGCCACGGGCTCCAGCAGCGAGAAGGAAGAAGGGGAGGAGGAGGAGGAGGAGGAGACGGGAGCGAAGAAAGCTCTGGTTTTATCCCCGGGGATGAGGAAGGAGTCCATGGAAAACCCCTTCAAATGCTCTGCGTCCCCGAGCAAAGACGGGAAAACGAAGCGGTCCCTCTTCAGGAGGCTCTTGGGTTTGCGCCGGGGTCGGTACTTGTAGTCCGGGTGCTCCTTCATGTGCTGAGCCCGCAGCCTCTTGGCCTCGTCGATGTAAGGGCGCTTCTCCGAGTCGGAGAGCAGCTTCCACTCCGCGCCCAGTCTCTTACTGATCTCTGAGTTGTGCATCTTTGGGTTCTCCTGGGCCATTTTCCTCCTCTGGCCTCTGGACCACACCATGAACGCATTCATGGGTCTTTTGATATGATCTAAAGGTTTTGCCATCTCAGAAGCTGGCACATTAATTATAAAAAAATAAAATATATACTTTGGATAAAGTCACCTCTCCAAGAAGCGCATGCTCCTTGTGTGCGTAAAAAGAAAAGTGGTCAAATGTTTCTCTGTCTCTTCTCAAAAATAATACAAACTGTAATTCCAGATTGACTCAAGCATTTACAAAGTGTGACAGGAAAGTACATAGAAAGCAAAGCCTTCCCGCGTGAATGGGAGTCACACAGGACCAAGTTGGAAGCTTGTTATGGAGGATGCTGGGCATGGCAGACACTCATCACCACACCACTGTCACCGTGGGCCAAGCCAATGGGAATGAGGGAGCGCACTGTAATCCCTTCAGAAAGAATAAGTGACTGTTCAACATTTATGAGGGACTACCTCCGTCTCCCTCTAACTCTACTGAGGCAAGTGCAGACAATCAGGAAACCAGTGCATAATAATAATGTTGCATACAAACACTGGACATTAGAAGGTTTAGTAAGGGCTTGGTGAGAAAGTAAGTTGTTTTGGAATGATTGTTTATTTGAGAATATCTCAAAGGAAGTTGCTATACTCTTCAAAGTCAAGTGACCATATCATTCAATAAATCAGGGGTGTCGCCAGGACTTTAGAGATAGGCTACTAAAGTTCATGAATGTCTCAATTTTTTATTATTACTTGGATTTCTTCTAAATAAAAAAAACATAAAAAACAAAGAAATCCTTTCTTACTCTTGCAATTTTGAGTGCTTAAAAATTCCAACTGAGAAGTGTCTGCGTCGCGTTACGGCTGCGCCACGGTTTCGGTGCGGCCTCCTCCCTACCCTACCGGGCGCGTTTCAGAAGCATTTCAGAAACGGAGCGTTGCCTGCCGGCTCGCAGTTTTTGTTGATTTGGGCATATTTCCTAGACAGGCTACTTTGTAGGGTGAGTTGCCCTAATGTGGGACACGCCCTAATGTGGGACACCTAAGCTCAAATGGGTGTAGGTCTTCCGCAAACAAATGAAAGTCAATGAAACTACGGGATAACACAAGCTGTGATGTCATGCGATCAAAATCACATGACTTCTCAAATGTCCAATCACAGATGAGGGTGGAAAAACCTTCAAACAGGAAGTACCCTGTGTGAAGACCACCCAAAGGTCAGTGACATAGTGTTTTGACAAATGTAATGTTGAGGTTTTAAATTTCGTATAAATAAAACAATCTTGCAAGTTTTTATCAGGATGTGTTCATGATATGTTTGTTCATCAGAACATATTATAATATGGTGTAAATATACTCTATATTT